CCCCCAACGTTCCCCCTCAGGCGCAGCGGGGCCTGCCGGCCAGGGCTTCCCGAAGGCCGCCGGGGCCGCGCTGGCCGCCGCGGCCACGCTCGCCGCTGGGGCCTGCAGGCGAGATCGCCGCGGGAGCCGCCGCAGCGCCAGGAGGCACATCTGCGAGGCGGGGACTTACACAGAACCACCGCCCGGAGGATCGATCTTCGGAGGCCTCGGCGGGCGGTGGATGTGGATATATTTTGGTCCCCGGGGGCCCAACTATACCCATACCCTCCGCCCGCTGGGTCCCAGGACGTCGGTTCCCAGGCGGTGGATGCGGATGAATCCCCGCCTCGCCACATCGCCCTCTGTGCGACTGCGGTAGCCGATAAGGCCACCGTGGGCGAGATCATCGAGCGTGAAGACATCCGCAACATTGCCATCATCGCGCACGTCGATCACGGCAAGACCACGCTGACGAACGCGCTCATGGCCCAGACCTCGGAGGATGACGGCATTGGATCCATGGACAGTGACCAGATCGAGTCGGAGCGGGGCATCACCATCCTTGCGAAGAACGCGTCGGTTGATTGGAAAGGCGTCAAGATCAACATCATCGACACTCCTGGGCACGCCGACTTCGGCGGCGAGGTCGAGCGGATTCTGAACATGGCGGATGCTTGCCTCCTCCTCGTAGACGCGCAGGAAGGTCCAATGCCTCAGACCAAGTTTGTGCTGAAGCAGGCGCTGAAGCTTGGTCGCAAGGTCATGGTTTGCATCAACAAGGTCGATAAGCCTGCAGCACGCTGCGACTGGGTGCTCGACACCACTTTCGACCTGTTCAGCGACCTTGGCGCCTGCGACGAGATCTGCGACTTTCCGGTCTGCTATGCCTCGGGCTTCCTGGGCGTGGCCTCTTTGGATGGCCCAGACTCGCTGGAGAAGGACCAGGAGGAGAAAAAACATGCAGACACAATGTATTGTCGATTTCCTGGAAAATATGGAGAAATAGGGGCAGTGGGGGCGAGGACGGAAACTCAGAAACGACAGGGGAAGATGTGGGGAATCCTGGGATTTGTTTGCACTTACCTGTGTGCCCCTGGGCCCCTTTCGGAGGACCTGTCCCCGCTCCTCGACCAGATCCTGGAGGAGTGCCCCAGGCCCAAGGTCGACGCCCAGGCGCCCCTGCAGATGCTCGTCTCGAACCTGGACTTCGACCCCTTCATCGGGCGCATCTCCATCGGCCGCGTCATCTCCGGCAGCCTCGTGGTCGGCCAGGAGCTCGGCTTCATGTTCGGCCCCGAGGGCGAGGTGAGACGGGCGAAGGTCAGCAAGCTCTGGGACTTCCACAACAACGAGAGGAGAGTCGTCGACGAGGTCGCAGCCGGCGACATCTGCGCCTTCTCCGGCATGGACGACGTGACTATCGGTGACACCGTGGTGGATCCTGCGAACCCCATGGCTCTGCCGCCCATCATCGTGGAGGAGCCTACGGTCGTTATGGAGTTCGGGATCAACTCTTCGCCCTTCTCGGGGCAGCTGAAGGAGACCCTCTGGAGGACCAGCACGCACATCAAGAATCGCCTCGAGAAGGATCAGGAGGGACAAAAAACAGACAGACACAATTAATCGTCGATTCCCAGAAAATATGGGAACATATGGGAAGTGGGGGGGGGGGGAAGACAAAAACCTGGAAAATACATGAAAACATGGGGAATCCTGTCATTTGTATGTATCTATTTGTGTGTCCCTGGGCCCCTTCAAAGGAGACCATGACCAACCTGGCCATGCGCGTCGAGCCGGGAAGCAACGCCGATTCCTTCAGGGTCAAGGCGCGCGGCATCCTGCAGCTCGGGATCCTCATCGAGAACTTGAGGCGCGAGGGCTTCGAGGTCATGATCGGGCCGCCAGAGGTCATCACGATCACCGACCCAGAGACGGGCGAGAAGCTCGAGCCATACGAAGACGTGGTGGTCGATACGCCCACCGAGTATCAGGGCACCGTCATGGAGGAGATGCAGAAGAAGAACGCCGAGGTCGTCAACATGGAGGCGGGCGCCGGGGAGAATAGCATGATCATGTCCTTCAAGATTCCCACTCGTAACTTGATCGGCATGAACGGCGTGCTTATGCGCCGCACAAAGGGGCAGGCTGTGCTCAACTCGCGATTCGCCGAGTACGGCCCGTTCCAGGGAGACGGCCTCAAGTTCCGGGAGGCTGGCTCGGTGGTAGCTTCGAGCGCGGGCAAGGTCTCCTCATATCAGCTGGTCAAGATGAAGAGCCGCGCAACGTTCTGGGTGAAGCCTGCCGAGGAGCTCTACGAGGGGATGGTCGTCAGCATCGTCCAGTCGATCCCCATCCCCACCTGGGCCACGCCTAGTCGATCCCCATCCCGTCGGGGGGTGGGCGACCATCGTCTAGTCGATCGGGGGGGGGCCTGCGGGTGGCGGGGGTCCTGGAGGCCGCGAAAGGGGTCCTGGGGGAGGTCCCGTCTGTGGTGGGGGATGGTGGTCCCAGATCAGAATACCCCCCCCCCCGATGGGGAGGGTCATCAGCATCGTCCAGTCGATCCCCACCTCGTCTGGTCTAGTCTTGGCCCCACCGGCCCGCCTTCCCAGGTGGGACCCGGGAAACGGACTAACAGAGTATACACCACACCACCCCGACGTTGTCCCCGACTCTCAACAAGTCCTGGCAGTGAAACGCAGCCCGCCACTGCTAACTCCTGGACTGCTCGTAGAGAGCTAGGAGGGTTTCAGATTGAGAAGCTGGAACCGCAGTGTACAGTCGGGGCCCTGAAGAAGGAACTCTTTTCGTTGGGTAGGGGCTCCGTGTTCCTTACGTAAGTGTTTCACAGTCTGTCCCACGTTTTCCTTAAGTTGTCGAAGGGAAATCGAAGTTCAACTTCTGGAGAAAAGGGGTCTCGTTCCTTATTTAGGGTTCCTTAGGTCAGCGCCCCGACTGTAGCCCCAGAGCTTGTTCCGGCTTCCGTGAAAAATCCCCGGCGCGGCTCAGGCCCTCGCGCGTCCTTCTGGCGCCCTGCTATTCGGGCCTTGGACCCCACAGGCGTAGATGTTCCAGTTCCCAGATCCCCGACGTCATGATTTTCCCAATCCGTCGACCCCTGGAGGTCTCGACGCCTTCCCTGGACCGGTTTTTCATCCCGAGTCGCTTCTGGACAGTCTCGAGGGCCGGCAAGGGCCCCCAGAGGCCTAAAGTTGGGGAAACCAAAAGGTACCGATACCGCTACTCCCTGGACCTCTCCTGGGGTGCGTTCTGACCAGAATTTCGAGGCGAATCCGGCGGTGGCGACGAGGGCCTCCCAGGAGGCCCCCCAAAGGGGAGAACGAGGAGAGGGTAGAGGTATGGGTACCTTCCTCCTCTCAAAAGTAGCAAAAAACCTCCCGGCCATGATTTCTTCATTGCCCAAGGGGGTCTGGGCTTCCCATCCCCGTTGTGGCCTCGGTGTCTCTCGGCCCCGCCGGCCCGCCCTCCAGGTGGGCGCCGCTCCCCGCGTGGCCTGCGGGGAGGCTTCCGTCGGGCATGTCCCTCCCCAGGAGGCACATTCAAAAATAGTCAAAAATAGTCAAGAAATCATTACAAAGTCAAACGTAGTCAAAAATAGTCAGAAATAGTCAGGAATAGTCAAAAATAGTCAGGGGACGATTTTTTGGGACTATTTTTGAGTATCTTCTGCCTTTTGGAATTTTCCTTCGCAATCATCCCCTGGGAGCCTCGAGGGCCGGCAAGGGCCCCCAGGGACGTTTTTTTTGTTTTTTTTTTTTTGTTTTTGTTTTTGGGGGGGTCCTTTTTTGAGTATTTTCTGCCTCTCTGAATTTTCCTTCGCAGTCCGCCCGTGGGAGGACGTGCCCGACCCGAGGGGAGGCAGCCTCGAGGGCCGGCAAGGGCCCCCAGGAACGTTTTTTTTTTTTTTGTGTGTGTGTGTGTGTGTGGGGGTATATTTTTGAGTATCTCCTGCTTCTCTGAAGTTTCCTTCGCAATCATCCCCTGGGAGGACGTGCCCGACCCAAGGGGAGGCAGCCTCGAGGGCCCGCAAGGGCCCCCAGGGACGTTTTTTTTTTTTTTTGTGGGGGGGTCTATTTTTGAGTATCTTCTGCCTCTCTGGAGTTTCCTTCGCAGTCCGCCCGTGGGAGGACGTGCCCGACCCCAGGGGGAGGCAGCCTCGAGGGCCGGCAAGGGCCCCCAGTGACGTTTTTTTTTTTTTTTTTTTTTTTTTTTTTTTTTTTTTTTTTTTTTTTTTTTTTTTTTGTTTTTTTTTTTTTTTTTTTATATATATATATGCATCTATTTATATATTATATTATATAGGTATATCAGTATTATTATTATTAGTATTATTTTTATTATTATTATTACTAATATTTATATATAAAAATAATATTATATATATATTAATTAGAAAAATATTTTGTTGAGTCTCTTCTGCCTCTCCGAAGTTTCCTTCGCCATCCGCCCGCGGGCGGACGTGCCCGACCCGGGGGGGAGGCAGCGCGCGCCCCCGCCTGGGAGGGGGGCCGGCCGGCCGGCGAGCGGAGCCCCGGCCGCGCGCGCGGCGGGGGCCGCGCCCCCGCCACGCGGGGGGGGGGCGCTCGCGTGAAGTCGGGCCCGTCCCCCCTACAGGGGGGTTTTCGACGATGAATGAAAAAAGACCCCTAAAATAGCCCCAAAAAATAATATAAAAACAGTCTGGGGACAATTTTTGGGGTATTTTTTTGCATTTTTTGGGTATTTTTTAACATCGGAAATCCCCCTACAGGGGGATTTCGAGGAAAGATAAAAAAAACCCAAGAATAGTCAGAAAATAGTCTCAAAAGAGTCAGGGGATTATTTTTTTGGAGTATTTTTCGACCTTCTTGGGGAATTTTTGGGGTATGTTTTAGTTTTCGTCGAAAATCCCCCTGCAGGGGGACGCCCGACAGAACGCTCGTGGGCGGGCCGGCCGCGGAGGGTGCGTCTTCTCGAAGGAGATCACCACCTATCAAACCACCCCAATCCAACGCGAAGGCCTCAATTTGCCTTCCATTTCCAGTGTGGGGGGGTCGGGGAGCATTGAAAAAACACAGATGAAACCCTTACCCCCCCCAACCCGAAATTCGGGTCTTCGGGTTGGGTTGGGGTGGTATGGTAGGTAGTCAGGAGAACGTTCGGGTATAGCCAGGACCCCAGGTACCCAGACCCCCTCGAGTCACCAAAAATCGCGACGGCAGGTTTTTCGCTATTTTCGGCCTCTGGGGGCCCTTACCTCAGAGCGTGAATTACCTACCCCGCTTTCGCTTGCAGGCAAAACCAAGCCATACCACGCGCCTCCTCGTCAAGCGGCCTGACCAGTACAGGCTGCAATTTGGCACCGTTTGGTATCTCTTGGAAGCGAGGGTGGTCAAAAGCGAGGTAGGCTTGTTTTCCCCCTAGGTACCCAGACCCCCTCGAGTCAGAAAGAATCGTGACGGCAGGTTTTTCGCTATTTTCGGCCTCTGGGGGCCCTTACCGGCCCTCGGGGCCGTCCAAAAACGACTCGGGAGGAAAAAAACCGGTCCTGGCGAAGGGGTCCAGACCGCTGGGGATCGACGTCATGAAAAAATCATGACGTCGGGGGTCTGGGTAAGGGGACCCGGTTAGTGGTAGGGCCCCGGGGCCCCGGAATTGGCCTGCTTGCGAGCGACTGCCAACATTCAGACCGATCAGAACTTCGCGACGCTGGCCAGAATCGCCGAACCAGGTCTGCCGCAGTTGGTGCTTTTTAGGGCGACGGCAGTTCCGCTTAGTAGAACGGGGCAGGGGGGCGCCCCCCAGTACACGTCACCAAACCAGGTCCCATGAAACCCAGTTCTGCCAACGCCCGAAACTTCTCGACTAGACGTAAGAGTGACCTCTCGCCGGAGTGACCTCTGGTGCGGGCACAGATGGGCCCTCAGATGGCTGACAGCGAAGCGGCAGCAGCGGCTTGCGCGCCCAGGTTTGGTCACCCCGCGGCCCCCAAAAAGCCTAAGAGACCGGGGTCAGTGCAAACGGGGGTCAGCCAGGGCGCTGGATCCTGCAGGATCCTGCGAAGACCCCCTCTGGCTGACCCGGGTTAGCGAGCCGCTCGTGGCCGCGAGGCGGCCGCGCCTATTGGCTGACCCGGGTTTGCGAAGACCTGCGTGGCAGTTTTTTTTCCTGCATTGCAATTTTTTGGTTTCCTGCTGACCCGGGTCTGGATTGACCCGGGTCAGAAGATCCCCGATGATTCTCGAAGAAGAATTTCGAATGCAACTCCTGGGAGGTCAACTTCTGATTTTGCCCTGGTCCGAATTCCTGCCCCAGACATGATCGCGTCGTAACAAAAATCAGGACGGGAGGTTTTTGGCTATTTTCGGCTCCGGGGGGCCCTCGCCGGGCCTCGGGGCCGTCAAAAAACGACTCAGGACGAAAAGCCGGTCCCGGGGAAAGGGTCGGTACTTCCAGGGACGCCGTCCTTAAAAAAATCAGGACGTCGCATGTCTGGGGCTTAATCCCGCTGAATCCCGCTGAATCCCGCGTAATCCCGCTGAGTCCCGCTGAATCCCGCTCAATCCGAGGCCCACTCCGGCGTAATAGCCCCCAAATGGGGCCAAGTCCTCTTTAATCTTTCCGACGGAAACCTCCCAGTAGCTGCCTCCTAAGAGAACCCGAGGCGGGGGTTTATCCAGAACCACCGCCTGTGGGATCGATCTTCGCGGGCCTCCACAGGCGGCGGATATGGGTAGTTTCGGGTCCCCAGGGGCCAACAGATATCCATACCCGCCGCCCGCTGGGGCACCAGGGCGTCGGTTCCCAGGCGGTGGACATGGATAAGTCCCCGCCTCGCAAACAAAAAAAAGCGGGGGTGGAAAGAACCCCCACCCTGACGCGTCGATTCGTGAATTGTCCGCTTTCGGTTCTCGAGAGGGCGCCGCGGCCGTCATTTTCCAAGCTTGCGCCTGTCAGGTTTGGGCCCGAGGTCGTTTTCGCTAGATTACGTTTTGCTACAGGGGGTTCTGTGTCGACCGGCGGTGGCCCCGCCGCGGGCGTTCAATGTTGAACGCCTGTGGCGGCCCAGAATCGGTCGATGCTGAACGATCAGACGTTGCGGAAACGGTCCAGGTTGAACAATCCCCGCGGTGTCGGGAACCAACGCCATGGTCGACACGTCACCAACCTGCCGTAAGCGGGCCAGCAGCTGAGTTTTTTTTTTTTTTTTTTTTTTTTTTTTTTTTTTTTTTTTTTTTTTTTTTTTTTTTTTTTTTTTTTTTTTTTTTTTTTTTTTTTTTGTTTTTTTTTTTGTTTTTTTTCCTTCTCGAAGAAGAAGAAGAAGCAACGCCATAACATCAACTTGTGGCGCTTCGCGCG